GGTCTGTTTAATATTTGTCTGGTTATTGGTTATCAGCCAAAAGTTTGTCATGGCCTGCAGAGTTGGCTGGCATCCACTGTGTGCAAATCAATCATCATACTACTTGTGTTTGGCCATCACGTGTTGTCTTTGATTGTATCTTAATTATGAGAAAACAACACACACACACACACACACACACTCATACACATCTTACTCAAGCTAGGAATGGTCATTTGGTAGCTAAAAACACACCAGAGGGTTTATTGAAACACCAGGGGCTGGTAGTCAAACTCACGTACACACACATTCAGTCATTCCGAAATGATCATACAATGCATCCACCACACTTGCTGGCGTCTGGCATGAGGTAAACAGCTTTTAATAGCATCAAACCCGCTGCAGTTTGTTTGGGACCATCTGTCCAGTCTATTGTGTTTCTCTGCTGTGGCTCTTTGGAAGCCCATCGGGTGACAGCTGATGTATGGGCTCTTACAAAGTCCCCAGCCAGGCCCTCGGGATCCTGCCACACTGTTTTCTCCCTGTCTACTATCTATTTCTTCTTCTTTTGCTTCTGTTTTTGTCTTATTATCCTTGTCCCTTTTCTGCTTCACAGAGGGTTTTTTTTTAGATCATGCTATGTCAGTTTATTAGTGATAGGAGTAAGAGTAAGGGAACAGGAAATTGTGTATATATGTGAGTAATAACGGCAAAAGTAGTGCTTATCAACTGTGTTTTTGGAGGCTAGGCTAGGGTCATTTTTTTCTCTTTTTACATTTTATTTCTTGAGAGTATTTGGGTTGACCTTTTCACCTAAAAACAGGCAGGAAAGGCATATTAATGTACTTTCCCACTAGCTTGTGGTCGACCTCCTGACTATTTAAATACAATGACGCAACCAAATGAAGCCACTCTCTAAGATGGTTGCTTAAATACTACTGTGCTGTGGTATCATCCAGTTTATCTTTGAAACAATTTTATAGCATTTTTAAAAATATATAATTTTTTGGGGGGCTGTTTTTGCCTTCAGCTCAAAATAGACATGAAAGGGGGAGAGCAAGAGGGAAAGGGCCAGAGATCAGACTTGAACCCATGGTTGCTACCTTTACCAGATGAGCAGTGTTGGGCAGTAACGCATTACTATTAATAATATTACTTTTTTACCAGTAACAAGTAGTGTAACTAATTACTATAAAAAAATCAGTAATAATATTAGTTATGCCCCCTAAAAAATAAGTAATCATGCATATCACCAAGCAAGAAGCTAGCTTGGAAGATGGAAATGCCTATATTTAGCAGCAAACAAAAATGGATATGAGTCGTGGACAGCAGGCAGAGAACTAATGACGCTTGTGGCTGGATATGAGGTCGATGAAATGTTTGACTCTCCGTCTTTCAGTCACAGGCAACAGAAACCCCTGGATAAACAATAATTTACAAGACAGACTATGTCCCTAAATAACAGAGGTTGTCTGTCTGGTCATCAGTTTGAGCCAGGTCTGCTTTTAATCTAGCCTGTAACTTTCATTAACATTTTGTATAACATACAACTTAATTGGAAGGGAACTTCCACAGTACCTTTATTGGTCTAGATTAGGGCTGTCCCCTAATAGCTGAGCAAACTGTTAGTCGACGAGAATAGTCTCAGTCAACGTAGCAGCTTCAAACAGAGTATCAGGTGATTGTTGCAACACGAAACCTTTTCTCTCTCCATGGTACTAGCCTCCCAGTGACCACGGCTGTGACAGAACACAAGCTGAGTTTGTAGCAAGTTGATTTTTAAGTATTTGTTTTTGTGTAGTTGGAAGTTTATTCCGTGTGTGAGACTTGTGTGATGTTAATAAATTAACCAAATCCTTGCTGTTCTGACAAATAGAGAATCATTTCACAGCTGTATTTAAAAAAACATATTTATAGAGTAAAATTAATATCATTAATATTCAACGACCAACAAACTATTGGCTTAAATGAACAACCACTAGTCGACTTGGAAAAGTCTGGACAGCCCTACCCTACATAAAGCATCCTTTCATCCATTCTGTATGGAAAGAGTTTGAGCACCACCTACACATTTCTCCACCCAATATAGATTTGTTTTCCTATTGTTTATAGAAAAAACACTGTTGTAAATACAAGGTGGTTCCTTGAGAGGTTGAGGGGTACACTGGAGTTGAGGATTGGGGCGGTGAATGCTAGGTTCAGGAAGTTTTCACTCCTTTCTTCCCAGGGTGCCCCTGGCCTCTCCAACTCCCAGTCAAAGGCTGAAAGAAGCCAGATGCAGGCAAGATAATCACCACCTAATAAGAGACTATATTGAAAGCAGGCTGGCGTTCATACTACAAGCTTGAAAGGCGTGTGCACACATACACACTCTCACACACACACACGTACACATGGGTAGTCGAATACATATGCTCACACAGTCAGGGCAGGTGTAATTATGGTGCACGATGACACACTTCAGAAAGAAGTGTATCACTCACATTCTGTAGAAATGTGGACAAGCATGTGTACAAAAAACAACACGCTCACACGCACATATAAACACACACCACACACACACACCATATCCAGATCATTTTTCCTTCTTCCGACTTAAGTCCTCTACCACCATCCTAGAAAAATGTTAGCATATGGAAAAAGATATCAATAATTTCATGATATACCAATTATCAATTTAGAAAAAGGCAGAACAGGATCCCCTTTGGTTTTGTGTATGGTTGCTGTCTGTTTTGCTGTGACCCTATGAAAGAATATGAGGCTAAGCACAGAAACTGAAGTCCTACTCACACTCTGAAAAGTGACAGAATTTCACT